GACTTAGATAGTGTAAATAAGATGAATATTCCAATTAGGCTAAATAATATAGAATTCTTAATTTTTGGTTAATTTACATTGATTTAGATAGTTTATTTTACATGTTTTGATCATTGATGAATCCACTTTTTATTATATTTTTACTTGCCTTTTTGGTGCTCCTTGGTAGAAAAAATGGACTTAGATAGTGCAAATAATATAGAAATCACATTTTGAGTAAATATCATAGATTTATTAATTTTTGATTAATTTGCATTTAATTACATAGATATAGATTGCAATTTTAATTGTCTTGATAATTTTGCAGAGTCCCCAAGTTAATTCTAAGATATCTTGGCCCTTGGATGAAAGTTGCCCCCAAAGTAGCCACTTTTAGGAGCAAAAGTGGCAACTACAGCAAGTCTGGGCATTAAAGGATCCAAAGTAGCTACTTTCAAGTGAAAAAGTGGCAACTCCAGAAGCTCCAGGATGCCGTTTGGGAGCATTTCTGCGCGTGGACACTATTGGCTCAAATAGTGGCCACGCGCACCAGAGTAGCCACTTTCAACACAAAAAGTGGCAACTCCAGAGAATTGACAAACTTACGTGAATTGCACGTGGACACTCTTTTGGCCCAAAGTGGACACTTTCAAAGCAAAAAGTGGACACTTTGCTGACATCGCATCCAATATAAATAGGTTCTAGGAATTAGGGTACGGGACTTTTTACACTTTACACATTTTTTCTTTGCCAAATTGAGAAATTTCCCAGAATATTAGAGTCGGGTAACAGCCAAGGGTCCTCTATAGGTTTTAATTTCCAATTTTCCTTTTGATTTTTGTTGAATTTATATTAATGTTACTTACGTTCTTGCATTTCTTTCTTTCATTTGTGAAGCCCATCCATATGGAAGGCTAAACTTCCTTGTAATTCCTAGTCAATGCACATGAATCTTGAATTCTTGGGATCAATTGCAATACAAATCTTTCTTTCCTTGAATTTATTGACCCCAATCTTTGAATGAAATGGAATTTGCATGAAGGGAACATTGCTTAATGAACCCTAAATTACCCAACGAAATTCTAATTCAAAATTGCTTAATTTTGATTAATCTTTGAGGCTGCTTAATCTTAGGGATAGAGATTGGAGCCCATTAAGATGCTTAATTTTAATTGGGATGTTAAAGTTAATTTTCGCTTGTTAGATTAACTTAATTCAAGGGAAAGAAAGGGGATTATTGAATCATTTGAAAGAATAATGATAGAAGTCATTGATTGACTAGGAATTACTCATTTTAAATTGATTGAATTTCACTAGTTTACATTTTGTTCTTGATTAAAATCTGGAAATTGACAAACCTCCCCCCAATTTACTTGCTTTAACATATATGTTCACACTTGTTCGATGTATGTTCTCAACCAAAAATTCCTTGGAGACGACCTAGGACAACACCCTAGTACTGCATTTATTTCTTTGCATATTTGATGAAGATTAACGACAATCTTTTGCATGACGAGTAGCTAAATTTGTTTCATCAATCATTTGAATAATGTGGCAGGAATCCCCAAGCTTATTTTGAAGAATTATTGGATTTTGAGAAATTTGAGGTGAAAGTAACTACTTTCAAGATTGATAGTGAAAATTACAGCAAGCTACTTTCAGCAAAGGGACCAAAGTGATCACTTTCAAAGTTAAAAGTGACAACTACAGCAGCCCAAAATCCACTAAGTCTGCGCGTGGTTACTATGAAAGTTCATAGTATTCACTCCAGAGAATGCAGAATTGAAGGTGCTGCACGTAGTTACTATCAAAGTTCATAGTGGCAACTCCAAAGAGTCCAAAATGTCCAGTGCTGCGCGTGGTTACTATCAAAGTTGATAGTAGACACTACAGAAAGGCAAAACCCAACTGATGCTGCGCATGTTTACTATGAAAGAATGAAAGTAATTATTTTGGAGGGTGTCAGCTTTAGTATAAATAGATTTTTGCCAAATTAGGGTAGAGACTTCTTACATTTTTCATACCTTTTCTCTTCCTTACTAAATTAAGACGATTTTCCAGAGCTTAGGGCAACCTTGGGTGACAGCCAAGGGTCCAACCTAGGTTTTGGTTTCTCATTTCCCTTGCTTTTACATTAATGCCAATGAGTTTTCTGCATTTCCAACTTGGATTCTTGTGTTCCTTGATTTTAATGATAATATAACTCCTTTCTTTACATGAATTACTTCTTCCTTGTCTCTTGAATTGAATTAATGGTGAATGAGGGGGATATTGCTTAATTAACCCTAATTCGTTTTAAGGAGATTCTAAACTAAGGATTGCTTAATCCTAGGTTTAATTCCAAGGTTGCGTAATCTTGGGATGAGGGATTAGAGCCTAACAAATTACGTAATTTCATTGGGACCATAAGGTTGATTTCGCTTGTTAAATTAACCTAATTCATGGGAGAGAGGATGAGTGTTAAATCTTGAGTGGAATGAGGATAGAATCTATGTGGGTGAACCAAGGATTGCTGCTTTCTATTGTTTTAATTAATTAAACTTGTTTGCTTGCTGTTCTTTATATTGATTTGAAACCTCAAACCCCCCCCCATTTTAATTTTTTGTTCGGTTAATGCCTTCATCATGTTTAATGAAGATTAATAGCCAATGTTCACGGGAGAAAATCTAGGGTAACCCTAGTACTACATTAAGTTATTTAAATTTTGATGAGGATTTGCAACAAATCTTTTAAGCAGAACGACAAATAAATTCGATCATCAACTGGCCTCATTTCCAACACAAGGATGGAGATGAAGATTTATGTGCCTAGTTTGAGAATGGGCGAAGGCTAGAGATACGGGCAACGGTTAGTGTGTTCCAGCTAACTGATCTGCCAACATTAGTCAACAAATGCCAAATTTTTGAGGCAAATTGAAAAGGTAAGATAGTAGATAGCCAGATTGGGGGACCAGTGAGATAGGATCGCAGACCTCCAAGGTTCCCTAAAAGACCTTACTCTGGTGCTATTCAGTCTCAGTCCTGGGAGACTACTTTTTGTGGAGGTAGTAGCAGTTATAACACCCCAAATTTTGAAATATTAATTATTAAGGTGAATATATATATATATATATATATATATATATATATATGAATGGATGTAGGATATACACTTAAGTGAGTGATAAATTGATGTGGATGTTGAATATGTATTGAGATTTGATTTTCTAAACTGTTTGAAATAGGCTAAGTATTTGGTGCAGGGTGTTCTCGCTGTAGCGAGAGATGTCTCGGTGTAGCGATAGGGCCTTAGGAGGAAGTCATGAAACTGTTGCCTTCTCGCTTTAGCGAGAGGTCCCTCGTTGCAACGATAAAGCGATAGTTTGGGGTGCATTTCTGGGTGCAATCTCGTTATAGCGAGATTCTACAGATACCAGAGTGCAGTTTCTGCTAAGATTTTTGCTGTAGCGACAAGGGGAGTTGCTGCAGCGAGAAATGCCTTGCTGTAGCGAGAATGTCATGACCAAAGGGGTATTTGAAGGAGTTAGGATTGGAAAAATTCATTTCTCATCCCTCTCTTCAATTCTCTCGACCCAAAATCCTATTTCACCGCTTAAATTGCCTACAAAGCTATTCGTGAGCTAGATTGAAGGTTGGATTCAGGTTGGAAACTCTTGGAGGTGAGTTTTAATGGTTAGAGTTTCTGCTTGTCATCCCCATTCTTTGTTTTCTCGATTTCCCTTGGTTCTCATGGGATTCTTCCATGTATTTAGGGCTAAGTTCGTGTGGGGACCCTTCTCGTTATTGATTTCGTGCCTGGATCTTCAATCCGAGGAAAAGGGGACTCTACCCTATCTCATTATGTTTTGATTTCTGTTTATTCTGTTAAATGTTGCAATGTGGCTGAGATAGAAGTTGAAAATGTGTGTTTTGATGTAAATTATTGTGTGTGTAAATGTAAAGTGATGTGTGATGAGTTAGTTGAACCCATTGTGGGTGATTTTGTATTGTGAAATGCCATTGATTGGCGATTTAATAATGTGATTTGAATATGGGCCTGTGTGCTGTATGCTATGATTTGAATATGGGCCTGTATGCCATGTGTTGTGAATGAGGCCTGTGTGCCGTGTACGAACATGAATATTGTGTAAAATTGAAATGTGTGTGAATGAGGCATGTTAAATGCAGTTGTGAATATGCTATGAATGGTTCAGCAATACACTGAAGGTGTGGAAGATAGGGACGGTAGAAATACCTTGGGGAAGAGAGAGTGGTGGTGACACCAACAGTGAGCATGGTGCACCACAGGCTACACACTCTCCTCCTGAATAGAACTCTGACCAAGACGTGATATCCGTGATGACACCAACACCTTTGTCGAGCGACTCATGATCACACACGTGGTATCCGTGATGCGAGGGTAACTAACAACCATCCACGGTGTGAAACTGTGATCACAATGCCACAGTGAGCGTGGCTACGTGTGTGTGAAATGAGCATACGTGTGTGTGAAATGTTTGGGTGTCGTGAGTGCATCGATTATAAATTAAAATGAAATGCTTGAAAGTGTCGTTTGTTATTGATTAATGCTTGAAAGTGTCGTGTGTGTTGGAAATTATTCACCTTTACATTTATTTTTCAGGTGACCAAGACGATCAGTCGGACTCAGTGAAGGATGGATGAAACTGCTATAAGACTTAGGAATTTATTTTGAAAATTTAATGTATTCATTAAGTCCTATGGCAATGATTGATACAAGTTGTAATGCATCACTATTTTGAAATATTTTATCAAACCATGATTTGAGAACCATTTAAATGAAAATTTTTATTGTTCCTAATTTTACAAAATTCATTTATTGGAAAATTAAACTTACGTGTTACAATTTTGGTATCAGAGCAGTTCATCCAAACCGGACTGGGGTATCGGGCTAAAGTGTTAAAGCTGAGTGTTGATTTGTTTTGTTTACCTGAATTATAAATTTGTTATGTGTCTGATGGCTTGAATTGTGGTTTGCTTAATTGCTTTTAACTTAGATTAAACATGGCTAGTAGAGGTAGAGGAGCTAGAGGCACCAATGACCTGATGAAGCGCATGACTCAAATTCTGGAAACCTTGGCACATAACCAAGGTGGAGAGCCGGCTAAATATCGAGGGTTGTCTACCTTCACTAGGCACAATCCTCTAAAGTTTGAGAGAGGGTTCAACCCTGAGGGAGCTCAGAGGCGGTTGGCAGATGTAGAGAAGATCTTCAATGCTCTAGAGTGCCGGGAGGAGCACAAAGTGAACTACGCTGCCTACATGCTATGTGGGGAGGCTGAGGACTGGTGGAGGTTTGTCAGCCAGACTTTGCCACAGGAGGGTGGCTATATCTAGTGGGAGGCATTCAAGTCAATCTTTCTAGGGAATTACTTTCTCCGAGATCTGAAGAAGCAGAAAGCCAAAGAGTTCCTTGAGTTGAAGCAAGGAAGCATGACAGTGGGAGAGTATGCAGTAAAGTTCCAAGAGCTAATAAAGTACTGGCCTCACTACCACCATGAGGATGGAGAGAAGGACCTGTATGCTCAGTTTGAGCATGGGCTGAGGCCAGACATCTGAGCTACAGTCAGTCTGTTTCAGCTGACAGACCTGCCTACAGACAGTAGACACTAGGGGAGTCGGTACTGGTTCAGTGAGGCAAGATAGAAGACCTCCTAGATTCTCCAAGAGGCCATACTCAGGTTCCAGTCACTCATAGTCCAGAAGGACTTCATCTCAGGAGAGAAGCAATGGTACTGGCTTTGGCTCAAGATCAGGCTCCTTCAGAGGGCCGATCAAATGCTTCAAGTGTGGAGGGCCACACATAGTGAGGGATTGCCCACAATCACGGACGACTTGCGGTAACTATGGGAAGTCGGGACACACTGCCAATGCTACGAAGAGTGGCAGTGCTAGTACAGCTCAGAGGCTTGAATTAAGAGGGAGCACGAGCCTGAGTACAGGGACGAAGCCGAGCATTCCTGGTAGGGTCTTTTCCATGAGCGGGGCGGAGGCTTCACAATCTGAGGAACTGATTCGAGGTAAATGTGTAATTAAAGGCAAATTGCTTGACTTGCTGTTTGACTCGGGTGCTACACACTCTTTTGTTTCTGTGGACTGTGTGAAAAGTCTGGGTCTGTATGTGACTGAATTGCCATGCAACGTTGTAGTGACTACTCGTATGGGTAAACTGGTTGTGACATCATGGGTGTGTTTACAATGCTCTATAATGGTGCATGGTAGGATATTTGAGGTGGACTTAATTTGTTTGCCTTTGTCCTAGTTGGATGTGATTTTGGAGATGGACTAACTAGCTGTCAACCATGTACTGTTGGATTGTAGAGAGAAGACCTTGATCTTTGATGCAACGATGACAGAGGTTCTAAGGCTTATGAGCCAGGGAGTGTGGGAGAACACAGTGAATGTCAAGGCCTTTATGATTATGCTCTCGATAGAGGCTGAAAGTGTGGTGGAGCCAGAGTATATCCTGGTGGTGAGGAATTTCTTGAAAGTTTTCCCTGAGGATGTTTTTGAGTTACTGCCTGAGAAGGATATAGAGTTTGCTATTAACCTCATTTCGGAGCCAAGCCCAATTTTTGTAGCACCTTACAGGATGTCGCTAATAGAGTTGGCAAAGGTCAAAAAGCAAGTGAAAGAAAGACTTACTGCAGAAATAGTTTGTAAGATCGAGTGTGTCACCGTGGGGAGCACCAGTGCTCTTGGTGAAAAAGAAGGATGGGAGCATGAGGATGTGTGTGGATTACCGGCAGCTGAACAAGGTAAGGATAAAGAACAAGTATCCACTTCCAAAGATTGATGATTTGATGGACCAATTGAGAAGAGCTACACTATTTTCTAAGATTGACTTGAGATCGGGGTACCATCAATTCAGGGTGAAGGATGAGGATGTACTTAAGACGGCATTTAGGACGCGGTATCATCACTATGAGTACTTGGTAATGTAGTTTGGAGTGACCAACGCGCCTGCGGTGTTCATGGATTACATGAATAGGATCTTCCATGAGTTTTTGGATAAGTTTGTGGTGGTGTTCATTGACGACATCCTAATTTATTTGGAGACTCGAGAAGAGCATGTCGAGCACTTGAGAATTGTCCTACAAATTCTTAGGGAGAGGCAATTGTATGCAAAATTCTCTAAGTGTGAGTTATGGTTGTCATAGATTCAGTTACTAGGGCATGTAGTGTCGAAGGAAGGAATTATGGTAGACCCTGCAAAGGTGAAAGCAGTAGCTGGGTGGCTGAGGCCGACAAATATGATTGAGGTTCACAGTTTTCTAGGACTAGCAGGTTATTATAGGAAGTTCATTAAAGGATTTTCCAAGATAGTTTTGCCCTTAATGAAACTAACTCGCAAGGGAAATGAGTTTAAGTGGACCAAGGGGTGTCAAGCCAGTTTCCTGGAGATGAAAATAAAGTTGACTTCAGCGCTTGTGTTAGATCTACCCGACCCGGAGCGGAAGTTTGATGTGTATTGTGATGCATCCGTGCATGGACTTGGGTGTGTTCTGATGCAAGATGGGCGAGTGGTTGCTTATGTCTCAAGACAATTACGTCCACATGAAGACAACTATCTAACCTATGATCTGGAGTTAGCCGTAGTGGTTTTTGCCCTTAAGGTATGGAGGCACTATCTATATGGAGCGAGGTTTAAGGTGTTCAATGACCACAAGAGTTTGAAATATTTGTTTGACCAAAAGGAGCTAAACATGCGGCAGAGGAGATGGATGGAATTTCTCAAGGACTATGATTTCACATTGTCTTACCACCCTGGCAAGGCAAATGTGGTGGCCGATGCTTTGAGTCAGAAATCATTGCATGTGGCAAGAAATGGAATTAATTGAGGAATTTTGGAACATGAATCAGGCCATGGAGGTATGGCCAAGGAGTTTGTACCTTGGAACGACAACAATCCATAACGACTTCTTGGTATATGTCCGAGACGCGTAGCAGGGAGATGCTTTCCTGCAAGATATGATGAAATAGAGGAATGAGGGAAAGGACTCAGAGTTTCACTGTGATGAGAATGGGGTGATTAAGTTCCAGAATCGAGTGTGCATTCCCCAAGTGGACAAGTTGAAGCAAATGATACTTGAGGAAGCGTATAAGAGCAGAATGAGTTTTCACCCCGGTGTGACCAAAATGTATCAGAATCTCTGGAAGAGTTTTTGGTGGAATGGGATAAAAAGGGATGTGGTCGAATATGTGGCTAGATGCTTAACTTGTTAGAAGGTAAAGGTAGAGCACCATCGTCCACCTGGGTTGTTGCAACCATTGGAGATCCCTGAGTGGAAATGGGACGGTATTTCCATGAACTTTGTTTCTGGGTTGCCAAGGACAGGGAACAACCATGATGTCATCTGGGTGATATTGGATCAGTTGACTAAGACTGCACACTTTCTCGCGATCAACATGAAGTATAAGTTGGAGAAACTTGCGGATTTATATGTGAGGGAGATAGTCAGGCTGCATGAAATGCCGACCACTGTGGTATCTAATAGAGACCCGAGGTTTACCTCGAGGTTTTGAGAGAGGCTACAGAGGGCGTTGGGGACTAAGTTGAGACTTAGTTTGACCTATCACCCACAGACAGATGGTCAGACCGAGAGAACTATTTAGTCCCTAGAGGGCTTGTTAAGAGCTTGTGTGCTCGAGCAGCAGGGAACTTGGGAAGAGTGCCTGCTGCTAGTGGAGTTTACATACAAAAACAGTTATCATGCCAGCATTGGGATGACACCATTCGAGGCTTTGTACAGGCAAAGGTGCAGAACTCCATTGTGTTGGTATAAAACTGGAGAGACAACTCTTTGTGCGCTGGATATGATCCAAAAGCAAAATGAACAAATCAAGATGATCAAAGAGAAGATGAAGGTTGTCCAGAATTGACAGAAGAGCTACTATGATAAGAAGAGGAAGCCGTTGGAGTTCCAGGTAGGTGACTGTGTTTTTTAAGGCCTCACCTGTGACCGGAGTTGGGAAAGCCCTAAAATCTCGGAAGCTATCTCCTAAGTTCATTGGGCCATTCAAACTGCTGAGTAGAATCAATCCTGCAGCATACCGAATAGCATTGCCTCCAAACCTCTCGAACCTATATCTGGTGTTCCATGTGTCACAACTCAGGCAGTATGTGTCGGATCCTTCCCATGTGATTGATCTTGACCCGGTTCAAGTGAGAAAAGACTTGTCTTGTGACGTATATTCAGTTAGGATAGCGGACCACCGTGTTAAACAGCTGAGGGGCAAAGAGATCTCATTGGTGAAGGTGATATGGAGCTCAAGTGATAAGGGAGATGCTACCTGGGAAAGGGAGGTAGAATGAGAGAGTTATACCCAGAATTGTTTGTGTAACTTATATATGTGTTTGGTTGAATTTTAAGGACAAAATTCCTTAAAGGAGAGAAGAGTTGTAACGCCCCAAATTATGTAATATTAATTATTAAGGTGAATATATATATATATAAAAATAGATGTTGGATGTGCACTTCAATGCGTGATAAATTGATGTGGATGTTGATTATGTATCGAGATTTGGTTTTTTGGACTGTTTGAAATAGGCTAAGTATTTGGTGCAGGGTGTTCTCGCTGTAGTGAGATATGTCTCGCTCTAGTGATAGGGCCCTGGGAGGAAGGCGTGAAACTGTCGCTTTCTCGCTGCAGCGACAAACTGACAGTTTCTGGTGTATTTCTGGGTGCAGTCCCACTGTAGCGAGATTCTGCAAAAATCATAGTGCAGTTTCTGTTGAGATTTTTGCTATAGTGACAAGGGGCGTCGCTGCAGTGAGAGTGTCATGACCAGAGGGGTATTTGAAGGGGTTAGGTTTGGCAAAATTCATTTCTCATCTCTCTCTTCAAAATCTCTTCAATTCTCTCAACTCAAAACCCTATTTCACCAATTAAATTGTCTCCAAAGTCGTTCGTGAGTTAGATTAAAGGTTAGATTCAGGTTAGCAACGCTTGGAGGTGAGTTTTAACGGTTAGGGTTTTGGTTTCTCATCCTTATTCTTTGTTTTCTTGGTTTCCCTTGGTTCTCATAGGATTCTTCCATGTATTTAGGGCTAAGTTCGTGTGGGGACCCTTCTCGTTATTGATTTCGTGCCTGGATCTTCAATCCAAGGTAAGAGGGGACTCTACCCTATGTCATTGTGTTTTGATTTTCATTTATTCTGCTAAATATTGCAATGTGGCTGAGATAGAGGGTTGGAAATGTGTGTTTTGATGGGAATTTTTGTGTGTGTAAATGCAAAGTGATGTTTGATGAGATAGTTGAACCCATTGTTGGTGATTGTGTATTATGAAATGCCATTGATTGGCGATTTAATAATGTGATTTGAATATAGACTGTGTGCTGTGATTTGAATATGGGCCTGTGTGCCGTGTACGGACATGAATATTATGTGCAATTGAAATATGTGTGAATGAGGCATGTTAAATGTGGTTGTGAATATGCTATGAATGGTTCAACGATACACTGGAGGTGTGGAGGATAAGTAAGGTAGAAATACCTTGGGGGAGAGAGAGTGGTGGTGACACCAATAGTGAGCGTGGGTGTACCACAGGCCATACACTCTCCTCCTGACTAGACCTCTGACCAACACCTTTACCGAGCGACTCATGACCGCACACGTGGTATCCGTGATGCGGGGGTAACTAGTGACAATCCATGGTATGAAACTGTGATCACAGTCCCACAGTGAGCGTGAATACGTACAGTGAGTGCACGTGTGTGTATGAAATGTTTGGGTGCCATGAGTGAATTGGTTATAAATTAAAATGAAATCCTTGAAAGTGTCATTTGTGATTGATTAAGCTTATGTAGGATATGTTGGAAATTATGTGAAATGTGTGAGGTGAGACTCTATGTTTGTGTGTGTTGGATAGTGTACAGTACTCACCCTTTGATGAATCCATATTTTACTAGTATTTTACAATAGTTTTTAGTGCAATTAAAAAAAGAAAACATGCTAGAAATAGTATAAAACCCTTAAAAAAATAATAAAATGTTGCATGTCACTTTTGTAGGGAATTCTGAGCTAAGTTCATGAGGATTGGATGATCAAAGGAAAAATAGAAGAAAAGTAGCAAAAATTAGAGGAAAGAAGTTGATAATTGAAGAATAGCCTCTAAGTGATCACTTTCGCTGGTGAAAGTGATCACTCCAGAACCATAAAATGAAGAAGAGTTTCTACGTAATCACTTTTGCTGGCAAAAGTGATCGTTCCAGAGAGGTTGCATTGAGAAGAGCTTCTGCGTAATCACTTTTTCTGG